TAATATACCCAAATTTTGACGAACCTTTTCTTCTAACAACCGACGCTAGTGCATTCGCGATAGGCGCAGTCCTATCTCAAGGACCAATAGGAAAAGATCTTCCGATTGCTTATGCATCAAGAACCTTGTGTGCAGCCGAAACAAAGTACTCTACGATAGAGAGAGAACTTTTGGCAATTGTATGGGCAGTAAAGCACTTTCGCCCATATCTTTTCGGACACAAATTTAAATTGGTTACAGATCATCGCCCCCTGACCTGGCTCTTTTCAATTAAAGACCCTGGTAGCAGGTTAGCTCGATGGCGCTTGAAACTAGAAGAATATGATTATGAGATAATTTTCAAACCAGGCAAAACTAATAAAAATGCAGACGCCCTCTCTCGTATTAAAATCAATCATTTCGATCAATGCGCAAAATTTCAAACAAAAATCCATCATATTGAAGACCCTATAGAAATTTCAGATTCCGAAGACAACCCCGATACATCAGACAATCCCGTACTAGACGAACAAACTAACGAAGCAACACCCGAAAAAGTTCAAGAAGAATTTTATACCTTTGTTGACCTATACAGAACAAAATTACTCATAGACTATTCAAAGATAGAATTTGTAAATTCTCAATTACTCGATAAATCTAATAAAAACCTAATCATCTTTTTCTGGCAAAATAAACTGCAAGGTTTTCATCATACTATCAATGAAGATATTTTTGAACAGGATGCCGATTTCCACTCTGATATTATCAATATTTTCAACAGCAAATCAGTCAAAGATCGCAAATATTTTGTAATCATTCTCCCCTTCGATCCCGAAGCAGTCATAGAAAGATTATTCTATATATTGTACAAAAATAGAAATCAATTGGACCTCTCAAAAACATACGTCGTAGAAAACAATTTGGAACTACCAATTCTAGAAATGTTTTGCTTCATATTTGATGACAAAGATATCAAAATCAAAATCTGCCAAAATATCACCAGAACACCCGATCCTGATCAAATACCAATCATATTAGACCAATTCCATTCAGGCAAAAATAATCTTCATCGTGGAATAAATGAAACTGCAAGAAGAATCAAAGTAAAATACACTTGGCAAGGAATGAGCAAAGACGTTGAAAACTTTGTCAAGAACTGTGAAATTTGTCAGAAGACTAAAATTTGTAGAAAAAACTTAAGTACCCCATTAGTTATTACCGAAACCCCAAAATCACCATTCGAGAGAATCAATATTGACCTATTTGAAGTACCGACAAGAAATTACGCACTAACAATCAGAGACGAACTCACAAAATTCACGCAAGCCTATGCAATAGAAGACAAATCCGCTAAATCTGTAGTTAATACCCTTTTGGTATATTTCCAACATTATGGTACGCCACTGAGAATTCACTGCGACTATGGACGTGAATTTGACAACAGACTATTGAAAGACCTCTGTACGTTATACGACATAAAACTAACATTTTCTAGTGTTAACCACCCACAATCGAACGGTTCACTTGAGAGATTTCATGCGACACTTATTGAAATGATTAGAGTAAACTTAGCTGAAAATCCGAATGAACATCCTTTCAACGTACTTCCATATGCAGTCATGTGCTATAATACCATGAAGAATAAAACACACGGTTTTACTCCATATGAACTAGTATTTGGACATACCGCCTCCAGAGCGCCCGATACTCTCTACAATGAAAAACAATTAATCTCAAAATACGTTCGTGACCTCAATAATAGGATTTCTTACTACTACAATATTGCACGCGAAAGAACACAGAATAGAAAAGAACAAGCCAAAATTCGATTTGACAAACGAGTAAATGAAAACTTACCAAATTATCAAGTAGGCGATAAAGTGTATGTTGAAGAGTCCCAAATTAAAGACAAACTCCAGAACAAATTTAACGGTCCTTTTGAAATAATTGAAATATATCAAAATTCAGCAATGCTCGTAAATTGGCAAACAAAACAAAAGACTAAAGTAAACTTCGACAGACTTAAACCTTATTTTGATTAGTGAATCTCTTTACAGGTCCATTCTGCTGTTTTCAGCAGCAGACGCCCAACACACGCTCAAATCAATAAACAATACAATCGGAAAATATTACCACGAAGAATCAACAGTCAAATTCTCTAACGACAAATGGACACTAATAGTTTACAAAGACCTCGAACCCATCAAAGGTGCTCTCGAGAAAAATAACCGAATATTAGAATCGATGCTCGATTTATTCGATACACCGAACCCTCGTATGGTATCCTTCAAAGCCCAAGTAAAAACTCATATAAGTCTTCTCTCACAAATCTCCGATTCACTAGGCCTGAAGTATCGTGAAATATTCGCAGATACAAAACCCGGCCATAGAACAAAAAGAGGAATATTCAATGGTGCAGGTTCCTTTTGGAAAGCCATCACTGGAAATTTGGATGCTTCCGATGGAGAATATTTCAATGACTGTATTAATAAGATATCTAAAGACGAATATCAGCTTGAAAACCTGATGAAAAACCAAATATCTGTAACTACTTCCGTTATCAAAAGTTTCAATAATACAATTCAAAAATTACAAATAGACGAAGCTACTTTCAACAATAATCTAAAATCAATCGAGAAATCAATATATGATATTTCTGACGATGTAGCATATGTTGAAGCTCAATTAGAAACTTTAGAATTTTGCGAATCACTAATGGAGAGCTATATGTTTATCGAAACAACATTAGATGATATGCTCAACTCAATCACCTTTTCTCGACTAAGAATAATACATACGTCAATCATAACACCTAGAGATTTAGTTAATTCCCTTCAGGAAATATCTCAATCATTATCCAAAAATAATTTACCCCTACCAATCTATCTATCAACAGTAGCTCAATACTTAGAAATTATGGAACTCGAAGCCTACCAAACTGATTCAAAAATAGTTTTCTTGTTAAAAATACCACTAGTTGAACCAGAAACCTATACCCTATTCCGATTATTCCCAATACCAATATTGGATAATAGAACAGGTTTTCATCACATTTTGTTAACAAATCAAAAATATATCGCGAGAGATGACGATTCAATGTTGTACGCATCATTCAAAAACTTGGACAGATGCAAATACCTGGAGAGCCGAATACAAATCTGTTCAGATGTTCTGCCATATCCAATCGATAACAACGCTATCTGTGAAGCTCAACTTCTTCGACAGCAATTCGAAGTACCGAAGTCATGCCAATCCTCAGTCATCTTTGCAAGAGACTATAATGTACAAGAAATTGCCTCCAATATGTGGTTGATCGCTTTGTCAGATCCACTACCAATAACGATCAAGTGTTCCAATAGAGAAACAATCACGAAAATAGCCAATACCAATTCGATCCTCACACTACAACCAGAATGCAATGCATTCATAGGAAGTACGAGAGTACACGCTAAGTACTTGGTCAGTTCTTACAAGAATGTGACCTACAGAAATCAACCAGTCATCATCCCATACGAATGCTGCAAACACCTACCTGAAAAACAGAATGTTCCAGAGCTAAAACCACTAAAACTAAGCAAATTGGATACTGAAGACCTGAATATTGCTCAGCACAAATTGAGTCAACATTCCGATGATTTGGACAAGTTAATCAATCAACCATACGTGACCAAACACATTTCTTGGTTTACGTAACTTACGATCACCCTGATAATCCCCCTGATTGTACTCTACTTCTACTGTAAGTGCAGACGTAGAAGACCAGCAAGAATAAGCATCATGGCTTCAGACAATTCACCCCCAGCTCCACCAGGAACATCAAGGACACCCTTCAGATCATCCCTTACCAGGTTCATCCCCAGAAGACGCCCAAGCGTCAACATCCGAGACCAAGAAGACGACTTCGAGCTGACATCATCCACCTCGAAAGACCTTCATTAAAAGTCGCTGCAATAAGCACCAACTTTTTATTATGATGGGGAGTTGTTATATGCTAAAATCAGTTCCCATTGTTCTCAGTAGTATCAACTTACCAGCGATAACAATTCCTCAGAACATGATCTTGACCTTGAAGTCAGCATCCGCAGAAATGGAATATAATATCTGCTGACGCTGGCATCAGCATTATTTTTAATATAAATTCATTCTATATTGTATCAAAAACTCAGTCTTGAAAAAAAGCTCATTGTATAAACTTAATCTATGCCGGAATAAATAAAATTGTTTTTAAAAAGTCTATTTCGAAAACCACGAGATAACATACCCAATTCTCATTTCCCTATTATATAACTAAAACTATAACGAACTCAATCTGAGAATAATGATTTTTTTCTATATTCGACGTACTCGCAAGGTATGGTTGTTTGAACAATCTACTTATATACCTTCGCAATTCTGCCACTTCTGATTTATATAATATTATGTAATGTCAATTCATCCTTGGTATAAACAACAGAGAACAACTAGGTATACTGTTCTGGGTATATATGCCACGACGAACATCGGATTTCATTTATTGAACACACGCACAATATAGGAATTTGAATATAAATAAGTCTTCGGAAGTTGAGAATTGGCATTCTCTTCAGAAGGTTCTCATTCTCATAATATTCTCATCTTTGGTATTCATCAAACGTAATTCAATGGGATGAATTCAATTATGAGACAGGGCGAAAATTCATACAGTCTACTCCACCAAAACTATACGTTAATATGAGCAATTCATAGAAGGGACATGTTTCGAAGCTTCACAGCTTCATCATCAGCAATAAGTTACATAGGAGCACTAAGGAGAAAAACAATAAAGCAAAATGTTAGGCAAAAGTCTTCAACAACGACAGTTTTAAAAAATTCACCTGTTATGGAGGAGGAAAGTTCTGTTCAATTAATATTTTTTTCTCCTCGGTGTGGAAATAACGTGGATACAAGGTTTGAGGAACAGGTTAGTTTGTTGTTATTCATTCAAGGATTCATACAACAAATTGTGAATCATGGAAATAGGTATATTTTCAGGTTTTCAATCCATTTATTCATCATATTAACATTTACAATAGGTAGGTACATGAGTGATTCGATAAATCAAATATTTTTTACAATTCCACAGTTTGTGAAGTTCAACAACAAATGAATTTTTACCTGAATTAATATAAACCTCAGAGTAATTTTCACAAATTTTTATGAAATAAACGACGATGGTAGATGAGGGAAGTTGAACAACTACTTTCGTGGCTGATGACACGCAGAACATTGAAATACATACTCCCTTGATCTATGCATTCATTCGTATAAACGAATACTGATGCAAGTTATTCTTACCTCAATGCTGTCATTTCGAAGATTGTAGCAAGGTTAACGCTTGACACCTGCAGGGAAATGTTGGGCTTTTGTCTCCATCAGTGTAGGATTGTCTTCAGCTAGCCGTCCTTATTCAGCCAGATAAGCGTAACAATAATCTGATCGGCATTTTATAACAGCAGTGGAATCTCCCATAGGCCACATGGGTGTAACGCCATCTAGCGTAGAAGGAAAGATACACTTCAAAAAACTGAAATTCTCTGCTCATCAAGAAAAATGTTCATTAAATGAACAACAATCGTAGACCACCTTTGCGTAAACTTGATAATTTTTTTTAAGTTCTGGTTCCCACGAAATGGGATATCCTGTAATGTTCAGAGAACATCGTGAGAACCAAGGGAAGGTTATATGCCTCGAAGAACACCTCCCTTGGCAATGTGTTCCAGAGCCTCGCTGTTCCTTGGATGAACGAGTATTTGAAAAGAGATGTTCTGCAGGTCTCCAAAGTGACCACGAAGGGGCGCGAAGCCTCAACTCGACAGGTTAATCTCGCTAGGACTACCAAGGAAGGAACAATTGTTGATATTTCAGAAGAGCAACGTCCATGAAAATATATATGAAATAGAGCCAGATCGCCAACTTTTCCACGGTGTTCCAGAGGAGTGAGTGAGTTTGTGAGCAAGGCATAATAATAATATGCGATGCAGACACCCTGTATGCATATTCAGCTAAAAAACATCCGATATATGAATTATCGAAATAAAAAACATGACCGAAAATAGCTGAAATGATCAAACTGGAATGAAGAACTGTCTGTTCAATACGGTCTGTCAGTTCTCAGCATTACACTCATTCTTATTACTTTATAGATATGGAAGAAGTATGTATTATCAGAATCTCATAAATGTGAACAGTCATTGAAAATCTGATAAGCAAGCCCCCTTGAATTTTACAAAAAAGTAGTGAAGGAATAACGTGAAAATTGCAAAGTACTTTTTTTTTTTTTTTGTATATATCGCTTCTTCAAAGTTGGGAACCAACTCCCCAGAAGTCGAAACTTGTGTGGGGTTAGGAAGAGCCGGACCTACAGCTTATAGTGGAATTGAACCACTTCAGGGCATCGGGGTGCTGCCAGGATTACAATCAGAAATCACACATTCTTTAAGAAAAATTGTCAGCCGGTAGCCGGATTCGAATTGACAGTACCTTCGCCGCATCGTGAACGGCTATCTAGCGAATTTCAGCGCATAGACAAACTCAGCCACAGTGCCCATAACAACCGAGAAATCTTGTGATCGCAACCGAACTGGGATGCACACTCTGTGGTATAGTATTAGAAATGCAATTGAACAAATGCCATCCTATTGCAATTCAACAGGAAGGTTACTGGCAGCATTGGGATATTAGTTGTTGAGTATGCGTAGAATTACCAGGAAATTACTCAGCTGTTTTGTGCCGTCATCAACCATTGTCGTTCAATTCATTGAAGATTTCGTGAACATGACCCTTGAATTATTTGCTCACTGTCACCATTCGATAATTCGAGAAGTACCCATAATATCTAGCAAAAAAAGACAAACTTAACGGGAGATGTGGAAGCTGTACCAAATTCTGAGGATACGACTTTTCTTGGATGATTCAAAAATATCATACCCAGCAGAAAAAATAGAAGTATTTTCTTCCAATTTATACAATTATCGTAGCACATTCCAGAATTCTTGTGCTCCACGCAAAATATCTGGAGATTGTGGGAGCTGTATCCAATTCCGGGAAAACATTTGGTGCACAAGCATTATCGCATTCTGAGAATTAGACCATTTCTGGATGATTCGAAATATATAATATCCAGTAGAAAACATACGAATATGTCGTCTTTCAGTTCGTACAAATGTAGCAGACTCCAGAATTCTCGTACCCCACGCAAAATATCCGGTGATTGATGAAGCTATCCCAAATTCCAGGGCCACGACATTTGGTGCACAAGCCAGACATGTCATTCTGAAAATATCACTATTTTTGGATAATTAAAAAAATATAATTTTCAGCCGGAAAAAATATAAATAATTTCTCTTTCAGTTTGTACCTACAGTTGTAGCAGACCCTAAAATTCTTGTGCCCCACGCAAAAATTCGGGGATTGTGGAAGCTGTCCCAGATTCTAGAGCCACATTTGGTGCACAAGCCAGACAGGCCGCATCCTGTCATTAGGAGAATATGATTATCTTGGGATGATTCGAGAAAAATGATATCCACCTGAAAAACATAATTTTTTTTTCACTTCGTAAAATTGTACCAGACTCCAGAATCCTCGTGCACCACACGAAATATCCGGGGATTGTCGAAGCTGTCTCAAATTTCAGGGTCATATTTGGTGCACAAACTTTATTCAATGCATTCTGAGAATTTGAATATTTCTGGATAAATTGGTGAATATTATATCTAGGAGATAATAATTTCTCTTTCAGTTTGTACAATTGTAGCAGACCCCATATTACTCGTGCCCTACGCAAAATATCAGGGGATTTTGGAAGTTGTCCCAAATTCCGAGGCAATATTCAGTGCGCAAAACATTATTTCATTCTAAGGATTCCACTATTTCTGGATGAAATGAAAAATATGATATCCAACAGAAAAAATACAAATGATTCCTCTTTCCGTTTTTAAAATTGTAGCAGACCATGCTTGTGCTCCACGAAAAATACCAGGGGATAGTGGAAGCTGTCCCAAAATGATAGGCCACATTTGGTGCACTAGTCAGACAAGCCGCATCATGTCTTTCTGGCAATATGACTATTTTTGGATGATTAAAAAAATATAATATTCAGCCGGAAACAAATACCAATAGTTTTCCATTCAGATTGTCCAATTTCAACAGACACCAAAATCCTCGTGCCCCACGCAAAATATCTGGGGATTATGGGAGCTGTCCCAATTCCACGCTAACACTTGGTGTCCAAGTGAGACAGGTCGCATCATGCTATTCTGAGAATTCAACCATTTTTGGATGATTCGAAAAATATAATAATCAACTGGAAAAAAATCCATATAAATTCTCTTTCAGTAAGTACAATTGTAGCAGACCCCAGAATTCCCGTGCCACACGCAGAATATCCAGAGATTGATGAAGCTTTGTCCCGAATTCCGGGGCCACATTGGATGCACAAGCCAGACACGCCGCATTATGTTATTCTGAGGATATGACAACTTTTAGATGGTTCGAAAAATATAATATTCAGCTTCAAAAAATACAAATGATTTCTCTTTCAGTCAGTACAATTGAATCAGACCCCAGAATTCTAGCTCGTGCTTCACGCACAATATCCAGAGATTGACGAATCTTTGTCCCGAATTCTGGGGCCACATTTGGTGCACAAGTCAGACAGGCATTATGTCATTCGGAGAATATGAATAGTCTTGGATGATTTCAAAAAACATTATATTCAGCCAGGAAGAATACAGGTATTTTCTCTTTTAGTTTATACAATTGTAGCAGACCCCAGAATTCTCGTGCCTACGAAAAATATCCGGGATTGATGGAGCTGTCCCAACTTCCGGCGCCACATTTGGTGCACAAGCCATCATCATGTTATTCTGAGAATATCAATATATTTGAATGATCCGGAAAACATAATATCCAAAATGAAAAAATTCGAATAATTCCTCTTTCAGTTTGAACAATTGTAACAGACCCCAGAATTCTCGTGCCCCACACAAAATATCCAGAGATTGATGGAGCTTTGTCCCGAATTCCGGAGTCACATTTGATGCAAAGGCCAGACAGGCCGCATCATGTCATTCTGAGAATATGACTATCCTCGGATGTGTCAAACAATTTCATATTCAGCTGAACAAATACAAATAATGTCTCTTTCAGTTTGTACAATTATAGCAGACCCCAGAATTCTTGTTCCCTACGCAAAAAATCCGGGGATTGATGAAGCTATCCCAAATTCCGGGGCCACGACATTTGGTGCACGAGCCAGACATGTCATTCTGAAAATATTAACATTTTTTGATGATTCAAGAAATATTATTTTCAGCCGGAAAAAATATTAATAATTTCTCTTTCAGTTTGTACAGTTGTAGCAGACTCCAGAATTCTCGTGCCCTACGCAAAAAATACGGGGATTGTGGGAGCTGTCCCAAATTCCGGGGCCACATTTGGTGCACAAACCAGCCAGGCTGCAGGGTATCTCGCGCATCTGTCTGAATTGGTGGAGAAGTCCTCTGGCTTTCCTGGCTATCAGCTGTCCGTCCATGTACATCGCTGGAAAACGAAATGTTTCAGAGTCCAGTTGCTACCTAGATAGTACAGAGGTAGGCAGAAAGAAAAAAAAACATCTATAAGAGATTACCAGCGTCTAGAGACAGAGTGCAACGAATAATTTTTGTGAGAGGGTTATAAAATACAAAATCATCTCCACAACGTTTAATATTCAGAAGATTATTTAGGGAAACATGTTCCGGACAGTCATGTGTTCATTGTAAAGGGGCCTTGTGTCCATATGAGGACGTTCTTAATCAAGTTTTAATGGCAGAACCCATTTTTGGAAAAAAAATAAAAAACAGTGAAGTCGAATAATTACTCAAAACAAACCTACATCATCAGATAATAAATGACAAGTGGCCTTCTTAGCAATGCACAAAACGCAAAACGCAAAATCTGTGATGAAAAGCCACATAATATGACAGTGACAATGTCAACTATCCGTAGATAAAGAATAGTGGACGACCAGAAGTACCACTCGACTTAAAAGGATGAGAAGATAGCTAGGTATATGAATTTGAATGAACATAAAGGCTACTAGAGACCAAAGCAGGAAATAGATTTCGAGACTGAAAAATATAAATCATATCAGTTGATTAATGAAAAACCAGAGAATTGAAAAATGTATGGCAATTAAAATGGGTTTGTCCATTGAGTGAGATAACATTAGTCATTTGAGGACGCATTAATTTCGGAAATTTCGAATAGGTTGAGAAGAGCACCTTTCTGGCAAATATGTCAAATTACCAGGTCGTTATATATTTTTTCACGTTCTGGTTCCCACGAGAAGGGATATCCTGTAATGTTCAAAGAACATCATGAGAACCAAGGGCAATAAGGTAGGAGTTGGTGTTCTTCTCAAATTTCTGGAGGTAATATGCCTCAAGGAACACCTCCCTTTGCAATGTGTTTCAGAGCCTCGCTGTTCGTTGGATAAACAAGTCTTTGGAAAGAGATGTTCTGCAGGTCTTCAAAGTGACCACGAAGGGGTGCGAAGCCTCAACTCGACAGGTTAATCTAGCGAGGACTGCCAAGGAAGGTACAATTGTTGATATTCCAGAAGAACATCGTCCGTGGGGATATCTATGAAATAGAGCCAGATCAACAACTTTTCTACGGTGTTCCAGAGAAGTGAGTGAGTTTGTGAGCGAGGCATCACCCACGAGACGAATTGCCCTTTTTTGGGCAGAATCCAACAGTTTCAGGGTATGTTTGGCACTGCAAATATGGGAACACTATCCCAGTACAGGTCGGATCTGTGCCTTATAGATCATAAGCAGCTGACTGGAAGTGGAATAGCTCCTGGCCCGAAACAGGAAACCAAGTTTTTGGGATGCACTTTTAGTAATTGATCTCAGGTGATTTTTCCAAAAAAGGTTATTGCTGATAGTGATACCAAGCATCGAAATGAATGTCTTCAAAGGTATGGTTACTCCTGGAAAGCTTATGTTGGGCACAGTGAGATCGGCTTTTCTTTAGAGAAAAAGCATGCTTGTGTTTTGTTTGCATTGAAATCTACCAAGTTATCGGATCCCCATTCGAGAATTGTTGCCAAGTCCATATTCATGTTGTCAACATTTCTTCCTCGTTCGTATCTGATTTGCCTGGCTGGTTTTGCAGCCCTGAAAGAGAAGGCGGTATGGAGGGTACGATCATCCGCGAAGCTGTGTACTGGACATGGAATTGCTTCCAACAAATCGTTGATATGTAGTAGAAGTAGTGTTGGTATTAGAATTGATCCTTGCGGAACACCAGCATTCATGGTAGATGGTCAGATGAAACTCCGTCGACCATTCATGGAGAGACCTATTTGAGAAAAAACAAGCTACCAGAGAACATAGCTGGGGAGACAAGCCATAAGATGGAAGCTTGGCGAGGAGTCCGTGGTGCCAGACTCGATCGAATACTCTGGAGATATCAAGTGCCACGGCTAAGGTTTCACATTTCACCATATTTTTCAATAGATTGCAGCTATATAAGTGAGACGTGAGCGAGCAGGTCACCAGTTGATCACTGATGACGGAAGCCATATTGCCTCTATCGTTGATGATACCTGATTGTTTCATTTCATGAGCTCGATGTTGATAGATTTCTCCATGATCTTTGAAATAATCGATAGCAGTAAGATCGGTCTGTAGTTGCAAGGTAGGGTCTTTTTGCCTTTTCTAGGAACTGGTTGTACTCTTGCAATTTTCCAGTTGGACGAGAATATCAAAAGAATATTGGTGCTTGAGGATATGATTCGCAAATAAACTTTTTGTGTTATATTCATCAATATGGGGATTTATTGAAAATATCTGATGATGTAGGTTTGTTTTGAGTAATCATTTGACTCCACAGTTTTTCCGTTCTTTTTCCAAAAATGGGTTTTGCCATAGAATCTTGATTATGTACGTCCTCATAGGGGCACAGGGCTCCTTTAGAATTAATCTGCTCCTTAACCAGTGCTTATGTGCACAATAATGCCAATCAAAGTTTTCCATAATGTTTTTTTCATTTCACATGGGACGAATCCTATATTTCATATATTTCTCATGATCAACTTGTATCATATTATAGGACCTTCGGTTTGTGAGGATCGAGGCTGATGATGGACACATACTTTTTCGAAACATGTTCCATTGAATAATCTTTTGATTATTGAACGTTGTGGAGATGATTTCGTGTTTTCTGACCCTCTCATCACTTCAATTAACTTAGAGAAAAGTATGGACTTCTACATAAGATTAAATATTGTTTGTGGCGTGGGAACTTTCTTTCGTAGGTACAGCGACTGAATTATTTCTTTATACCACAATTTTCAACTACCGAGATAGCACCAGATATTCCAAGAACATCCCTATATTATATTCCTCTCGGAATATTGGAATATCCTAGGAATAATCTGAAATATTCAAGAATATCTGTGGACTATTCGATGAGAATTCAAATGAAAACTCGTCAGATATTCATAGATAATATGTTCAAAACAATATTCCATGTTGAATGTTCCTGGTATATTTCAAGAAACATATATAGAAATGGAAAAAGTGACTCAGGATGAGATCAAACCCGTTACTACCAGACTATCATAGCAATTTTCCAACCACTAGACCAGTTATCGAATTGAATAATGTTGTACACATATCAAATTCTTGTAATAGCGTTGTTCAGAATCGAATCATACACACTTTTCGTTTCAAAATCTCCTTACAAATAATCAATGTTTGATAATCACATCTCTGAAAAGATAATTGGTGTTTATTCATTGAAAACCATGGCAATATCCATAGAATATTTCATGAATATATAAAACAGAATATTCAGTTGGTAATATTTCATGAAAATACACCAAATAACAACCAGTCGGGATGGTTGGAATATCTAGTTTGGAATATTCTTGGAACATTCATGCCTGAATATTTCCTGAGAATCCAATTATTCTGAGAATGTTCACATCTGGATATTCCAGCTGCAATATTCCTTGTATATTTCTTTTGAAATATTACTGGGATATTCACAATGGAGTATTCCATGTATGTTCTAGAGGCATGTATATATTTTTGGAATATCTGGTAGATATCCGGAATATACTCCTCCTTTCAAGCATATGCAGAGAATATACTGGGAATATCTAGTGCTTCTTGGGTGGGAGCGTGGGGCAGTTGATTTTTGGTTCTAATGTAACGATGGCGACGCGGCTTCAATGCCTGGAATAGTGAGCTTCTTCAATTTGGTTTTCTCAAGTCACTTCCCGAAGAACATCGTTTTCAGGAAGAAGATTCCTTCAGGCTGAGAGAGGTTACATTATCAAAGAAGTTATTCTTCTTTTCTATGCAGACGGATATTTTGTTCTTCCTGATAAAAGTACCTATACTGTGGAGACATCAACTACATATATCGAGGCCGATCGATCTTTGAACTTTTCGGGAACGAATCTGCTTCCGTTTTCAACATAAAACATGGTTATTAGGACAGCAAATTCGTATTTGTCTTGAAACTTTTCAGTTCTCGGTGACAATTGGTGACGTTGGCAATCCAATGAGTTTACAGGATGTTTTCATTAATCAATCTTGCATTTGCCATTTTGGTTCCCAGATTTCAGTAGTGAATACCATGTTCTATCTATATCAACTGAACATGAAGCAATGCTATCGTCTCCATTCAGAAGAATCCAAGCAGATTCATTGATTTTTCACCCCTCGTAGTTATCTTCTTTTCCAATGATTTTTATTTCATTTCACTCTGCCATATGTTGTCCATCTTCAGTAGGGATATGTTCAGCTAGTTTTGATTTATCGATGTGTCGTTTCTTTATATTGTACTTATGTTCTTTCATCCTTACTGAACATATCCTCACTGAAGATGGACAACATATGGCAGAGTGGAATGATATTAAAAACATTGGAAAAGAAGATAAAAACCAGAAGACAAAAATTGAGGAATCTGCTTGCAATCTTCTGAACAGAGACAATAGAATTGCTTCCTGTTCATTTGATATAGATAGGACATGGTATTCACTAATGAAATACGAAGAGAATAATGGTGAATTCAAGATTAATTGATTGAAATATCTTGTAACTCAATTGATTGCCAACGTCACAAATTGTCACTAAGAACTGAAAAGTTTCAGAACAAATACGAATTTGCTATTTCAATTCAATTTTTTATGTTGGAAACGGGAGCCCATTCGTTCCCGAAACGTCCAAAGATTGAAAATTTCATATTTTCCTATAATAATAATAATAATTCTTCATTCACCAAAAACACTCACAGTAGGTTTCGTCAAATCAGAGTCCGGCAGTCAGTACAAACTGACATGTTTTTACACATAAAATTACATACTTACGTACTTTAATATAAAATTACACATTGAAAATATAAATATTAATAAGATACAAAATAGTTCCATGTTTTGATAATGAATACATACAAGTGTGTAGCAACCTATTTTTCATTCTGGGTGAAGATGTTAGTACATTTAGTGGTTATTCATTGCATGAACTCTACAAAGTTATAAAAACATTTTTCCACCAAGTATTCTTTCAAAGCTTTTCTGATTGCTTGGTAAGATTTTAAGCTTTTCAGGTTATCAGGAAGTTTATTGAAAATTTCGGGACCTGCATATTTTGGTGATTTTTTGGATTTACCTGAGTTGCATTTGGTTAGATGTAGTTTCCTCGCATTTCTTGTTGGATAATTATGCACATTGCTGTTTTTAAGGAAGTTGTTTCAATTTTTATACATATAGCATGATATTTTGAATATATAGATGCTCGTTAGGGAGAGTATTTTGTTATTTTTCAGGACTGTTCTACATATATTTCTTTATTTTTCTTCTCCATACCTTTTGACACTGAAAAGCTAGTGAATTTTTCTCTTAGGCTCTGTGATAGAAAAATCATTCAAACGCAGTGACATTTTAGGGCAAATCATCTGATTTGTCCTTACGACACATATATTGGAATAATATTCATATTTATATTTTATAGAGACGAGGAGAGAAGATCCCAGAAAATCTGGAATAATGAATGTACCACCTCCTGGATTAACCTACAGACAGTATTTAGATTTATTCAAATTCAGATTTTTCGGATTCATAATAATTTTTTTTCTGTGACGTATAAAATATTCGAAATTTCTTTCTCACCTAGAGAGCTGAAATGTAGAAGCATTTCGTCTGATCGGAGATCTTGGGCGATCACGTCATCTGCGTACACCGATATTATCGCCAAGCACAGAAATAAATGGAAATAGTCCGTTAGATAATTCGCCCAGCATGCTTCCCACATGCGGAGAGCAACTCCTTCAGTGAATTCCCTCTTGAAACATCTGAAAAAAATAGATGAAAGGGTGCGGCAAGAAGATAGGCCGGATTTACATAGTGGTTGCTCGGTTTGTAAGACTGGCAACACTGTGCATGCGGTCTCGTGAGAGTAATAACACAGTATATATCCTTAAGGAAAACAGTAATTTGTGTGAGCAAAAATAAGCACGAATTACTAGACTTGGGACAACTATATTTCCTCTGCTCGAACAATAAATTCCACATCAATAAAACCCATTCGCAGCTTGCAGCAGAGAACAATTTTTTTTCTTAAGGAGAAAAAAGTTCGACATTTCATCTAATGTGTTGATAGAGGTGACGAAATATAACGTTTATATTAAATTACTTTTTCCTCCGATCGGCAGCAAATATTAATTTTGCTGACACATATCAATCAGCAAAATATTACTTTTCCTGCCTAGGCAGCAAAGTGGTTACTTTGCTGATTGATATGTATCAGCAAAATTAATAATCCATAAATCGTTTATGATTTCCTTCATATTTCATCCAAGACTCCTCCGGCAACAAATTCAAATCTATATTTTTTGCCACCTCCCTTATTTCTGGAGATTTAAGTACTTCCAGGTCGCTATCACTGTCAATTATATAATAATTTAAATATACCGATATTTTTTCGCATAACTGTCAGAATTTTCATGAATTGTCAAACTATAATTATTATGGACATTTCCATAGCAACCAACCATTCCAACAACTGCGATTTCTGTCAAATTTTATTTTAATTGAGCACTACATGAAAAATAAAGAGATATATATCATTATGAACAATCGGAGAAAAAATTATATGTTCAACTCGGCAGCAAGGTAGATTGACTGCCTTAGCTGGATTCCTAGCCTCGCTACGCTCGGTTATGAATTCAGCCTCGGCAGTCAATCTACTACTTTGCTGCCTAGTTAAACAAATAACTATTTCCGGTGACGGAGAAAGAATTACATTTCATCTCTGCTGACAGGTTATTAAATGTCACTTTTCATGAATTACTTCTTCCCCACGTGAAGAAGATGCATACATATATACTTTCTTTCCGGATCTACACTGTTGATGGCTTTTGTTGTTCTAGTTCCGAATAATAAGCCAATGATACCTTCTCCGAGAAACAACTACAAGTCCTTCTATCTTCCATTTCGCTTCGCAGACTTAACTACTAAACAACCACTAAGTTCGCAATTTTTCAAATCAAATCATACAGAATCACACTGACAGCTGATATTTGATGATTTCAAATGGATGATGAATGATGCCTGCAACGCAGGAGTAATTTTAGTTAAAAACTTCAACTTTCACGACGATAATTTTCTGATTGTGAATGTAATATCCTCCCAATATTTATTCGTTCTGCTTCCTGTCATTGGAAAATATAGGAAATTATGGACGGGAAAATATTAGATTTCAGCTCACGGTTTTTTGCTGCGCTTCACTTTTTTCCCTTGTATAATGGTTATATCATCATACAAGAGGAAAAAACAGTATATTTCAGCACGAGGTCATGTTGTCTCACGACACGTAGCGGAGGGAGACAAAAAACCATGAGCTGAAATCTTATCTTGTTTCGTGTAAAATGCACATTTTGTGACAGGAAAACGGACGGATCAATATTGAGAAAATACTACATTATATCAATATTAGAAAATTATCGACGTGAAATTTGAAGTTTTTAACAGAAATTACACCTCGGTTTTTTGCCTCCCTCCGCTATGCGTCGGGAGACAACACAACCTTGGTTCAAAATTCAATACTTTTTCTCTTTGTATAATGCATAATAATTTTAGCCCCCTCATATCGAAGGCGGAATCAAAACTTTCACATCTGGTAATTGGGAGATCTGTGCTATTACAATGCTATATATTTACGTACAGTAAAATCCATCGATGGCAGAACAGCAACTCCATCGCGTCATCATGCTTCTCCAAGTGCTTGTAGAACGCAGGTTCCATCAGCCTGATCAGTTCCCTCAGGTATCGCAGACACCTGTCCATAATCATAAATAGTTAATTATACACCAAGGTAGTGAAGAATATCATTATTACCCAGGGACCAATGTACCGTAGTGATAAAATTCCTTACTACCAAGGTGTAGGTATATTATTGTCATTTTCAACCATATATCGCAGACAACCAGATAACGAATGATCACGTCACTGTGACGTCCCTAATTGGTGATTTTTCGTCAAAGACGTCACACACCAATATATGACGTCACTATGACGTACTTTCTATGACGTGATAATCACGTCATTGTTTCGACGTCACTTAGATGAGTAAAAGACGTTGCAGGGACGTCCTGTCGACGTCCATTTTCCCAGACCTTTTCTAAACCATGGATACTTATACAGGGTGTCCGGAGATAAAACTGACAAGACTTGTGGGGTTATAGAGACTGTCAATATGATTGCAAAATGCCATAAACCAATGTCCAAAACTGCTTCGTTATTGACATACAGAGTGATTTGTGGAGTTTGACAAAAAGTCCAATCCACCATATCAAATACAGGGATCAACCGATTAGATTCAAATTTGGTACACGAATTACTGATAAGCATCAACAAGTAGCCCTTTGATCGAAATCAATATCAGGACCGGAATGATATTTTTTCCCTATGTTGAGTTATTGTGAGAATAACTCACCCTGTATAATAATAACAAAAAATTTCAAATCAGATTCGACAACTACGGTGAAAATTGTATAGGAATTTGTTGAAAAATTATCTGGCACTATCTTAGTTATTCCGTAATTAATTATTATTTTAATTTTTTTCTTTCAAAATTCAATTATTATCGGATAAAGTAATATCAAAATTGGTAATATAATAAATATTAACGAAACCATGACATGAATATCGTTATTTTTTTCAATCAGTCCGTAAATCGTAGTGAAATAAAATACTCTCATTACCCGAAAAAATTGAAAAATAAATTCGTATCAGGACTGAAATGCGGTTTTCTATGATTATATTCCTGTAAGAATAGATGATCTATAGTGTATAACAATGATCTGATCGTAGATTCGAAATGCACTGAGAAAAGTTAAAAACTTGTTGAAAAATGATCGGATTGAACTTTCAAATAATAAATCCGTATAGGTACCTTATAATATTTGTGTATAAAGAATAAGGTACTATAGGCTTGTGTCAAATTCAGAATTTCATTATGGAAAACCATTGTTCAGCTGTAATAAGCGTTCGTTTTATTGGTGTTCATTCATTATTCCAGTGTTTTTAGGATCAAACTATAGTTCTGAGAGTGTGCTTATGATGCCGTTTCATTTCACCTACGAGGAATACGCAGATATTCTATTTGTGTTTGGGCTTTAACTGGTGATGTTCACCTAAATTTCCTGGTCAATACTTGACCGGATCTATTGCAAGGTGTAAATACCTGAGGTATATGGTTTCAGCATGATGGTGCTAGACCTCACTTTGCAGTTCCAGTTAGAAACCATCTCGATGCCAATTACCCCAATAGATGGATTGGCCGTGGAGGTTCAGTAAATTGGCCACCGCTATCCCCTGATCTAACTCAGCTAGATTATTTTTTATGAGGTCATTCAAAGTGAGAAGTTCATAATGAAGAAATTTTTTATGGGAAATTACTGCTGCATGTGTTAGTGTTAGAAATAACCCTCAAATAATTCGCAAGTCAGTGAATCATCTAACAGCACGCTCTCAAAAATGTATTGATGTTGGAAGGCTCCACTTCGAAAATGTTTTGTAATACTGGTTAGTGAAAGTTTTTCACGAATTCGTTGCTTTTGTTATGTTCATTTCAAACAGTTATTGTTCGTTGTGTAGTATTCTCATAAATTCAAATTCATTAGTGAGCGAATATAATTTACGAAAACTTCACTGTTATCCTTCATTAACAGGTTCTTATACGATTTTTTCTAATTCCGAATCTACGATCAGATTATTGATAACTATTGATATACTAGGTCAGCTAACATGACCAAACAAAACACTCATTCCAGTCCTGATACGAATTTATTCTTCAGTTTTTTCGGGTTATGAGAATATTTCATTTTACTCCGATTCATGAACTGATCGAAGAAAATAACGACATTCATGTCATGGTTTCGTAAATATACGTACTTTATCCGACAATGATTGATTTTTCAATGGAAAAAATCGAAAAGATAATTAATTACGGAATAACTAAGATGGTGCCAGGAGATTTTTCAACAAATTCCTATACAATTTTCACTGTAAATTGCGAATCTGAGTTGTAATTTTTTGTTATTATGACAGGGGTGAGTTATCCTAACAATAACGCAACATAGGGAAAAATATTATTCCGGTCCTGATATTGGTTTCGATCAAGAGGCTACTTGTTGATGCTTTTCAGTGTAATTCGTGTACCAAATTTGAATCCAATCGGCTAATCCCTGTATTTTATATGGCGGATTGAATTTTTTGTCAAAATCCACAAATCACTCTGTATCTCAGCAACGAAGCCGTTCTGGACATTCGTTTATGGCATTTTGCAATCATATTGACAGTCCCTATAACCCCATGAGTTTTGTCGGTTTCATTTCCGGACACCCTGTATACTATCATATGAAACAGAAGAATAACTCATGAAAGAGAATCAACATGCAAGTTTTATTCTTATTATTAATATATCCCAAAAGTAGTAGAAAGACTTCTTTCTAAAAACCTTTGACGCACTATAAATCTAGGAAACAAACAAGCTATGTATATATAAAAATGATTGTTTAGGTAAACCTATATTGAAACCGTTACTCTTATGACGTTGCGGTGACGTATCTATGACGTCTAAAAATCACGTCGGTGTGACGTACCAATTTGGTGAGCTTCGTCATTCAGTAAATTTTTCAATAATTTGCTATTTAGATTTTTGTTGAGTGACAATAAAGAATGCATCAATAAACATTATTCAACAAAGTGAAGCCAAATTCGCCAACATCCTTTCCATTGGCATCAAACTATTTTTTGTTTGCTTACATCTCGCCGACACAAACTACATAAT